GCAGAGGAGTCCCAGTTGTCGCTGCTACCTGGAGACAGGGTTGGCAAAATAACACTAGTGATGAGGGAAGGCCTTTTTTTTTTTTTTTTTTTTTAACCATAAGCCCGCTGTGCACACCGAGGGCGGCGGGAGAAGCATGGGAAGGAGTCAGCCTAAGTTTGCACATTGCGTAAAGGGGACACTAAGGTATGAGCTGAAGCTTTAGGTTCTCCTTGCTTCCCTCAAGACTTCCTTCCTGTAACAGAAGCAGCAGGCAATTGCTGCAGTGCGTTTCTTGACCTGCCAGTAGGTCTTTATCTCCTGTAAGAAAAAATAGCCTGATCCCTTCTGGCAGCATTGGGAAGCTTGATGCTAATTCTTACATAGCGTGGCAAGCCGGCCACCAGTGCCAGGCCTTGATCTGTATTCTGCACTATCCCCTTTCTTGGTTCCTGGCACTGAATGGTCCCCCAGCCCTGAAGAATCACTTGAGATCATCACAGCAGCTGAACTGGGCTTTCTCCCCAAGGGGCAGGGGCACGTGGTTTTCATTTGACGGGGAAAAGAGGTAGCTGTCCTTGACTGCCTTTGTTGTGGTTTCCTGCGTAAGATAGCACTGTGTTTTCAACTTTTTTTCATTACATTGTCTTTGCAATGATGTAAATGTAAGAAATCACTTAGCTTTAAAAAGCGAAGTGGTTTGTTGTTATTTATGTGAAGACTTTTTAACATATCAAGAAATAGGTGCGTTGGCAGGTAGGGTTTGGGATGTGACAACTGCATCAGATGGACTTAAGCTTTGTCTTCTTCAAAGTTACCAATGTGAATGTCATAATTATATTTTTGTGGGAAATTTTCTCATAAGTTATTGTGCAAAATATAGTATCATTGATGCAAATAATAGTTTTAACTTTTAGTTTAGAAGCCCTAAAAGATATAAATTGTATTACACATGCATTAAAAGTTTGTTTTATTTAATTTTATGGAGATGTGTAAAGTGTTAGGTGAACTTTTTTTCACTTATCCATTTAAACACCTTGTTACTTGAATATTGTGTTGACTGGTCTGCAACAGTGATCCATTCTGTAATATAGCTCTTTTAACTGGGAAGGAACCATGCCCCAGTTGTGCTGATTACGTTCGTGGTGGCTCACAGGTGGGTGCTGGTGTTGGCAGGAGCCGGAGGTTAGTGTAACGCAATGCTGCGTTATCTTGTGCACAGAATTTGTGGAAACGCCGCTTCCTCAAAACGGTTTTTGATCATTTTTTACCTATAAGATCTTTTGATGCTCACAAACCTCTATTCAACACACAAAGCAAAAACGGAAAGGTAGTTGGGTTGTAAAAGCTTACCGTGGTGGGCTGATTCAGCAGTGGTTTTCTGTTCATAGAGAGTTTCCTCAAATACCACACACCACTATTAACTGTGCTCATTGTCACTTTAAATTTCAGACATACCCTATTCTTGTCATTCTAAATATCAGACGTACTATTGGTATAATTGCACACCAAAAATAAGCCAAACAGTGCATTACGCTAACTGGATCCCTGCTTTTATGTGAGCGAAGGAAAGATGGAGCCAACTCCAACAAGGGCCTCTTTTTCTCTCTTGTCTAGTCTGTTTCTATACCGAATGACCCAGGATTCAAGCTTTTAATATCAAGTGAACCTTTGCCTCAGATGGACTCCAGGTAGTTTAGGTCATCTCCATGTAGCGGTCCTGTGCGATGCTGTTTCGCCACTCCCTGAATCTCTGCAGCTTCTTACCCGTAGTAAAGCACAATTGCAGTGACGTCGCATTCGGAAGGAGGAAGGTCAGCAGAGGCTATGCATGTTGTGTGATGATGAGTGTTTACAGCCACCTTCTCCTGAAACGAAAATTTATACTGGGGTGGATAGGATTCCATTATGTACACTTGCCGACTTTGCTAAGTGCTTTTTAGACTGCTTAAAAAATTTTCAAGATTTTAAAAGATGTATAAGGTTAAGTTTGCAAATATAATGGAAATGCTGTATATCTTTTGAAGTGATAAAATCCACGTTGGAATTTTAAAGAAAATATGTTGTAATAATGCTGTTGTAAGTAATATTTTAATGTCTCTTTGCCTGTTTTCTATTTCAGCACATTTGTGGTGAATGTTCATAGCATTATAACTGCTTAGCCATTGAATGATAACATTTGTTAGTGGAAATTGGAAAATTTATTTGTGAAATTCTGCAGAATTCATTTTTCTATTTCCAATATTTGCTGAGATTAAATAAACATTTTCAAGCTATTGATGTAATAAAATATGAAACCAAAGCATTTTCTGCACCCCCACTCTCCGTCAAAGCAGTACCCTGCCCTGTACCAAAGGGGGTTCTTTCTTTCCTTCTGAGTGAGCCTTGGGGTTTCCGAATGTATAATTTCCTCCAAGTCAGACCCTTCGGAAACACAGCCAGGGGTGCCTTTTGTTTCTAGCCTTTTGCTCTACCTAAACCTACGTCCTTTTTTGTATATAATTTTACAGTTGGAATCAAATTGAAGCGCACAAATTCATGGTTTGTGATAGTTGTGGGCTCAGTGCAAGCGTTCAGTAAGAGGCGATTTTCCCCCGTGGTGGGCTTTCTTTTTTCAGCCTTACCGGGCTTTTGACCTGATTCCTGGAGGCGGGATGGTAGCAGTGCAGAGACGAGATCGCTGCCTCTGTGGTCTCTGCTCAGCCGAGAGTGGATGCCGGCAGTTTCCTGAGTAGCAGCAGGAGCTGGTGGTGGCTGTGGTCTCGCGGTCTTCCCTTTTTCAGCTGGGAGGTAGGGTTTGCTTAGATTACTACTGCAGATTTAGGCTAGAAGTCCAGTGTGCTATCCATTGTGCCACGGAGTCTGCTCACTAGATAACTACTGCTATAGAAACCCAACTTCTCGGTCCAGGCAGATGGGGCCCCTGTGTGTGACTGCACAGTGTAGGAGGGTTGTAGAAGAGTGGCCAGGTCCAGCCTTCCCCAGGTTGGTAGTCTAGTGAGGGGGCACTGCACATACCCTACCACAGCGAGTGGTGCCGCAGCTGCAGGAGGGTCTGGGAGGGAGGTCGAAGCTGCCTTGTGTCTTTAGAGAGTGCCTGTCCTGGAGCTGAGCCTCTGGAAAGGGGTGAGGGTGGCACCTGGGGGTGGAGGTCAAAAGTGCTGAGACCTCCGCTGTGATTTGTGAAGGTGGCTTGTGGTCTAGAACAAGAGGAAATGAGTTCCAAGGACAGTGGTGGGGATGGTTGAGGCTGAGGTAGCCCCTTGCCAGGATGCCACTGGACATCTGCTAGGATGGGCACTGATGAGGGAGCCATTTGGGCAATGCCTGAGACCGGGAAGAGGGGAGCTGTGGAGGTGTTGAGGGAAAGGCCTTCTCAAAGACTGGCCCAACCTGAGCGCGTGCAAGAGCACAGGATAGGAAGGGATAGCAGGCAGACTCTGCGTCCCGAATGAGGGACGCATGGAGTTCCTGGCTCCAGGCCCCCGTTCCTCAGACTGATGGGGAAAGACACCCATTTACAGGTGTAGATGAGGTCGCCTCCGTGCCTCACTTCCCCTTCATCTTGGCTCTCCCCACAACCCCAGCTTCAGATAGGTGTGACTGCAGTACTCTGAGGTGGGTGGCCTAGGGGAGCTCCGAACAGCAGCCTGGAAGTAGCAGGGAGTTCTATCCCCAGGGGCAGCTCTGGGTTAAGGCGGCCACAGGCAGCAGTTCCAAGGCCATTTCTCAGGGCCTCCATCCGCGGCCCTCTGAGGAGACCAGCTCAGAAATGGTCTGGGACTGACTCCTTCCCTGCCTCACATTTTCTGGCCCCCTACTTCTGTTGCCTGGGATCAGTTTCAAAATCAAACCATTTACCTACAAAGCCTCATCTCAGGCTCTGCTTTTTGGTAGAATCTAGGCCAAGACAGCACTGAGGTGAGAATCACAAGGCTCAGAGAGGCCTAGTGAGGTCCCTGCCAGGCCTATGCCAGCCTTGCTGCTTGTGGAAAGGAGTGATCTTGAGGGCATTCAGTGCCGACGCTGCTGGAAAGGCAGCTCGCCACACACAGCGTCCTTCCCACGCTCCAAGCACCCTGCGAGGCTCTGATTCTTCGAGCTGACAGTAAAGTGAGGCTCTGCGTAAATTGCTTGCCTTCTCAACAGATCAGAGGCCGTGCCTGGGGCATCATTTGGGCCCACACTAGCTCATGGATGACCCTGACTTACTCTTTTTTTGGGGTTTTTGTCTTTGGGGTGTTTTGTTTTGCTTTGTTTTGAGATGGAGTCTTACTCTGTTGCCCAGGCTGGAATGCAGTGGTGGAATCTCCGCTTTGCAATCTTCACTCTGCAATCTCCGCCTTCCAGGAAGCAGTTCTCCTGCCTCAGCCTCCTGAATAGCTGGGATTACAGGCACCCACCACCATGCCCAGCTGATTTTCATATTTTTAGTAGCAATGGGGTTCTCCCATGTTGGCCAGGATGATCTTGAACTCCTGACCTCAGGTGATCCACCTGCCTCAGCCTCCCAAAGTGCTGGGATTACAGATGTGAGCCACTGAACCTGGCCAATTCTATTCTGGACTGAATGGAACTCACCCCTTGAGAGAGCTTCCCAAGTACACTTACCTCTTGTCTCAGAAGCAGGAGCACAGTTATAGGCCTTGGCACACCGGCTGGCCCGTCCGCTCTGCCAACTCGCCCCACCTTCACCATTTTCCCGCTGCCTGGGTGCTCTATTAGTACCTGCACACTCCACAATGCTCACACCTAAAGCCCTGTCCCCAGAGCTCAGCTGCCCTTGGACCACTGCACCCGCATGTCCATCAGTGCATCCAGATTACACATCCAAGATGAAGACCTTTCCCCTGCTCCTGTTTCTGCATCCTCTTTGGTGTATCTAACTGCCATGTATCTGGTCACCAAGCTAGAAGCACTTTGATCCATCACTACTGACAGGGACAGCACAAGCCCTCCCTACCACCTGGGGGGTGCCGTGGCCTCCTAACTAATCCACCCCTTATCCCCACCATTCCTCTTGCCTTTTCTGTCCCGCTCCCCACCTAACCAGGGACCAACCTCTCCTGTGAAAAGCAGAAAGCATTGCATCTGTCTCCCAGAAAATGCACAGCTCTTCATTCACCCTAAGTCCCCATAACCTCCCGACTTCAGGCGCGCTGCCAGGTGCCTTTCTTCTTCAGCCCAGTCCTGCATCCCGTCCATCTCTGGTCCTGATGAACCCCTGCCTTCCCCCACCTCCTGCAGGGGGACTGATGCTCAGGGCTTCTACAACTTAAGCCTCCTTCTGCACTAGCCTCTTTGTACTGACTGGAATGAAGTGATACTCAGTTCTTATTTTTAACGTAGGTAACTAATGTCCTGGTATAAAAGGCCTACGTGACGTGTTTCTGTCCCTGCCCTCTAAGCACCCCATTCTCTCCCTAGGCGGCCATTGCTGCCAGTTCCTTGCGTGTTCTCGCTCAAGGGCTGATCACACGTTCACAGGCATGCATTCGTGCACACATGCAAATGACATACTCTACACTAGCTTTGCCGCCTGACACACTGGTAGTCTTCCTAGTCTTCTTGCATTAGCACATAGGTCTAAAGTCACTTTGGCCCGGCCACAGTGACTCACACCTGTAATCCCAGCACTTTGGGAAGATGAGGTGGATGGATCACCTGAGGTCAGGAGTTTGAGACCATCCTGGCCAACATGGTGAAACCCTGTCATTACTAAAAATACAAAAAAAAAAATTGGCATGGTGGCATGCACCTGTAATCCCAGCTACTCAGGAGGCTGAGGCAGGAGAATAACTTGAACCCAGAAGGCGGAGGTTGTAGTTTGCTGAGATTACGCCATTGCACTCCAGCCTAGGCAACAGACTCAGCCTCAAAAAATTAAAAAATAAATAAAGCCACTTCATTATTTTGTATTGACTTCATGGTATTCTATTTATGGCGACAATGATTTATGGAAACCATCGTGAGTTGACAGGCGCTGAAGTATCCTTGGTAACATCAGCAGAATGGAAATCACGTCACTTCACCGACGTGCCTGTGTCGTTGCAGGATAAACAATCTCTAGTTCACTTTCCGCTTGGTACGTACTGCTCACTGGCCTTCCATAGCAGCTGTATCCATTTCTCTTTCTGTCTGCGTGAACAAGGCCGCTTGCTGCCCCGCGCCCTTCCTGACGCTGTGATAATTGCACATGTTGATCTGAAGAGTTCGGTAAGATGTTGTGCTCACTAGACCGAGTTCCTTGAGGTCAGCGCTGTTGTGCTCATCCAGTTCCCCACAGCTGGGAATAATAGCCACATAGATAGGTATTAACTGAATAGAGAGATGAGTGCATCGCAGGGGAAAGATAAGCACCTGATGGCCCTGTGCTTAGGGATCAAAGGCCCCGCTATGGATTATGATTGATGCCCAGGGAATGGGATTCCCAGCTGCCAATTCCTGGGTGTCCAGAGACGAATTAGCTAAGACCTGGGGTTCTCAGGGCCCTTTTCTTGTTTATTGAGCAATCTGCTACTTAGATACTTATTGCCAAAAGACTGGGGGAAGAAAGGTTCAAATCTGAAGACCTGGTGTTGCAGATTCTTATTTGTATTTTATTTACTTTATTTATTTATTTATTTTTGAGACAGAGTCTTGCTCTGTTGCCCAGGCTGGGGTGCAGTGGTTGGATCTTGGCACACTGCAACCCGAACTTCCCAAGTTCAAGTGATTCTCATGCCTCAGCCTCCCAAGTAGTTGGGACTACAGGCATGTGCCGCCACGTCTGGCTAATTGTTCTGGTTTTTATTTTTGTTTTGAGACGGAGTCTCACTTTTTTGCCCAGGCTGGAGTGCAGTGGTGTGATCTTGGGTCACTGCAACCTCCACCTCTGGGTTCAAGGGATTCTCGTTCTTCAGCTTCCCAAGTAGCTGGGACTACAGGTGATCACACCTGGCTAATGTTGTTTTTTTAGTGGGGACAAGGTTTCACCATGTTGCCCAGGCTGGTCTTGAACTCCTGACCTGAAGTGATCTGCCCACCTTGGCCTCCTAAAGTGTTGGGGTTACAGGCGTGAGCCTCTGCGCCTGGCTAGAGATTTTAAATGAGGTTGAATTCCGGATTCTGGGTCCTCCACCTCCCACCATTCCTTGGTGCCTCTTTCTTCCGTCGCCCTCCTCAGTGGAGAGTTGGCTGGCTGATATATGTGAGGAAATTGGCCGAGTTCTGGCCTGGACAAGCTGAACAGACACTGTCCTGCCAAGATGGGGCAGGGAGAGCTCCTCACAACTCCACTAGAAGCAGGAAGGGAAGGGATGGTCCCACCTGCGACGTCATGGGGAAGGGATCCAGGAGTGGGGAGCTGAATAAAGAGAGCAGCTTGCCTGGACAAGGATGTGTGGCAGCACGGAGGAGCTGGCATCTGCAGTCAAGTCAGGGCTGTGTCCTTGTCAACGGAAGGTGTTAGAATTGCGTGCGGTTCTCTGGTGATCTGTGCAGGTGCCTAGTGAGTGCTTGTGGCTGCCTAAAAGACTTGGGCCAGATTCCACTGCAGGCTCCGCAGATTCAGGCAGAGGATGCTCTGAGCGCCTGCAGCACTTCCTGCCCCTAGGACTTCCTCTCCAGGCCATCCCTGTTGGCCATCTTGAGAAAGATTTGGCCAAGGAACGGATGATGGGATGCAGGCTGAGCCTCTGACATATGCTAACAGCTTCAGTTTGCCTTTGAAATTCCTTTCCCTCAAGTCTGGGCAGACTGGGCATTTCTCTTGTCCCAGAGAAGCTGGTGTGCCCTAGCCACCGTTCGCCAGCACTCCGCATCAAGGAGGTGCCTCCTCAGCCTCCTCAGCCTCCTCCTTGGGATTCATGCCTGATGAATGAATCAATCCCAGTGCTTAAAGGCTTCATGCGCAAGTGCCCGGAGTTTGCATAACAATTCCTTTCAGTGTGGATTGTGGCACTTCATTGAATACATTTAGCACAAGTGCATCTTGTACTGGCAGGGCGCGATAGTAGGCCCAGCTACTCTGGAGTCTCAGGTAGGAGGATTGCTTGAGTCCAGGAAGTAGAGGCTGCAGTGAGCTATGATCATACCACTGCTCTCCAGCCTGAACAACAGAGTGAGACCCTGTCTCAAAAAATAAATACAGAGGCCCCAGGAATCCAAGCATTTGGAAGGCCGAGGGGGACAGATCACTTGAGGCCAGGAGTTAACCAGCCTGGTCAACATGGTAAAACCCAGTCTCTACTAAAAATACAAAATTAGCTGGGCGTGGTGGTAGTTTCCTGTAATCTCAGCTACTGGGGAGGCTGAGGCATGAAAAACACTTGAACCTAAAGGCAGAGGTTGCAGTGAGTGGAAATCTCGCCCCTACACTCTAGCCTGGGTGACATAGTGGGACCTTGTCTCAAAAAACTAAATGAATATATAAATAATTTTAAGTGTGTCATTTGCTATATAGCAAATTATTTGTGGTTTTTAGTAATAATTCCTTGATTTATTGGCAATTATTTTGCCCCTAAGGACCAAACATACATTACATTATTTAATTTTTTTTTTTTTTTTTTTTTTTTTTGGAGACAGAGTCTCGCTCCATCTCCAGGCTGGAGTGCAGTGGCGAGATCTTGGCTCAGTGCAACCTCCAGCTCCCAGGTTCAAGCGATACTCTTGCCTCAGCCTCCCAAGTAGCTGGGACTATAGGCGTGCGTCACCACACCCAGCTAATTTTTGTATTTTTAGTAGAGACAAGGTTCCACCATGTTGGCCAGAATGGTCTCGATCTCTTGACCTTGGGATCCACCCGCCTTGGCCTCCCAAAGTGCTGGGATTACAGGCGTGAGCCACTGTGCCCAGCCGACATTATTTAATTTTTATGACAACCTCACAAGTAGGGGCTGTCATTATCTCTGTTCTATAGAAGAGGAAACCAAGACTTAGAGAAACGTGGCCTGCCCACATCATGCAACTCACAAGTGGCAGAGCTGGGCCGGAAGCACCTGAAACCCTTCCGCACCTTCTGGCCTCTGTCACTCTCGAGGATGCTGACTCAAGTCCTCGCTCCACTATGAAGTCTTTTTGGATCTCGTTTTCGTGTTTAACTCCTCTAGACTTGCCTCCTCACATACAGAGCAAAGATAATGGACTTTTTCATTATTTCTGCCTCCAGAGGTAGCAAGTTGGGTTGTTTTTTGTGGAGACCGGGTCTCCCTCTGTCACCCGTGCTGCAAACTTCGCCTCCCACAAATGATTCTCTTGCGTCTGACTCCCAAGTAGCTGGGATTACAGGCGCCCACCACCACGCCCAGCTAATTTTCTTGTGTTTTTAGTAGAGACGGGGTTTCACCAGGAACTTCTGACCTCAAGTGCCCTGCCCGCCTCAGCCTCCCAAAGTGCTGGGATTACAGGCGTGAGCCACTGCATCTGGCCGATAATGGACATTTTAAAGGCTAGTGAGGTTTAAACAAGCAGTACGTGTGAAGGCTTCAGTCTAGCCCAGTTGCCTGGCATGGAATAGAGGCTGGATAAACTGCCAGTCCACTCGTTCTGAAGACAGGTCTTAGGGCTGTGTTGCACTTCTGTGGGGCAGGGTAGGAGCTGAGCTTTCCACAGCTCACTGGCCTTCAAGGAAACCCCTTGCTTATCTTCTGAAACTCCCATCTCACCCCCGAGACAGTGAGTGAGCTTCAGGTGTCTTTAGCAGCATACTCTTACCCAGAGCTGCACTGGTGTTTTGTTTGTTTCTTTGTTTTTGTTGTTTTTGTTTTTTGAGACAGAGTCTTGCTGTGTTGCCCAGGCTGGAGTGCAGTGGCATGATCTTGGCTCACTGAAACCTCTGCCTCTTGGGTTCAAGCGATTCTCCTGCCTCAGCCTCCCAGGTAGCTGGGACTACAGGTGCGCGCTACCACACCCAGCTAATTTTTGTATTTTTAGTAGAGATGGGGTTTCACCATGTGGGCCAGGATGGTCTTGATCTCTTGACCTTGTGATCCTCTGCCTTGGCCTCCCAAAGTGCTGGGATTACAGGCATGAGCCACCGTGCCTGGCCCATAACTGCGCTGTTAGTGTGTGTGTGTGTGAATTTATAAGTTACGTACAGGCACTGTTCATGACTGGTTTGTTCGACGGTAGTACCACTCACACATTTTCTTCCCGCACCCATGATTCTGGGCCCAGGCCGTTACTACTGTCCTGAAGCTGGGACTGGTCTGTGCTGTCAGGCTCCCACTTCTCAGAGGAGGGAACTGAGGCCAGAGAGTCAAAATGACTTGCCCAAGTTCACTCAGCTCCTACGCGGAGGCGTGGGCTGGGGATCCAGGTGGCTCAGCTTTGAGACAGAACTCCTCCCATCGAGTCTTGCCTCCAGGGCCACTGGTAAGTGGGGGAGGTGGACCCCTTCAGCTGGGCGACCGCCTGTCCTGAGCCTCCCCACAGCCAGCTGCGGCAAGTCCAGGCCCTTGGGTCTTGGATCACAGACCCTGAGGACCACTGCGGGATGTCCCCTTGAGGGGACTCGCTGTGGGTACCCCCGGGGAACACCCCTTACAAATCCACCCAAGCCTGGATTTCCTGTCATCACAGTGCAACAGCAGGCACTTCTGTCCTGCTTCTGGCAGAGCATCTTTCCCGAGGCCGACCCAACCCGGCAGGCCGCCCTCTGCAGCTGTGCCCTGGTCATTACCCCTCCATCTCCTCCACCTTTCCACCCACAGCCCCAGGCTGTCCAAAGTGGACATTCTGATCGATCCCAGTGACCTATTCCTGGAGTGTGAGTCCAGGCTCCTCTGCAGCCCTGGGATGATGACTTGAAGACCTCATGGGTGCCCGCGGAGCACTGGCCCTCAGCGCCTCGAGGCCGGGGTCCGCAGCAGTCCTGCGTGCCGCAGCACGGCCTCCCTCCACGGCAGGGTTCTGCCCTTGCCCAGCCCTGATTGCAAGGGTGGCTACAATGACCCCTTCACCCTGAACACCTTTCTAGGAAAGATTGTTGCAGTCTTGGACCCCAGGAATCATGCCCCTGAGTGTCCGTGCCTTGTGTTGTCCCTTCCCCACTAACTCTAGGCTGGGTCGTGGACTTGTTTTGACCAATGGAAACTTCATAGGCTTGACATGAGCCTGTCTGCTCTAGTTTCTGGAAACTCTGCCACCCTGTGAAGAAGCTCGGGACAGCCTGTGGAGACACGTGGTCAGGCTGACAGCCACCACAAACCACCTACCTGTGTGTGAAGCCATCTGAAGCCAGGGTGCCCTGGCGGAGCACCCAGGAGACCACACGAGTGACCCAGGTAAGACCAGCACAAGAACTGCCCAGCCAAGCCCAGTTCCGGTTGCTCACCTGCAGCAAGTGAGCAAGTGAAATGGCTGGTGTTCTGGAGCCATTTGCCACACAGCAGCAGATAACCGAGATGGTTGGGCAGGAGTGGGACTCGGGGAATTCGGCAAATTTCAGACTGCAGAAAGGGCGGGGCACCTGGGCTTCAGAGTCCTGGGGTGTGTATACCCAGGCCCTCAGCAGCAGCCCACAGGTGCCGTCACCAAGGATGCCAGAGACTGCCTGCTGAGCACACAGGTGGATGTGAGCTCCTATCTCGGAGGCTGGGACACCACCTCCTCTAGCTGTCTGGGGCTGAAGGCACCGGGGTCCCCAGTGCGATCGTTCCCTGCAGAGAACCTGGCAGCTCATTGGAACCTCACCTCTGAGATCCCAAGCCAGGCCCCAGGACCCCTGCACAGAGTGGATTGGACACATTTAGTGACAGTGTGTCTGCTGGGCCTTTCTTGGCAGCCGTCCTCTGCACACCCCTCCAGGCTGCTCAGTCTTGGTCCTGTTGGTTGAATGCCTTGTTCCTTCGTAGATTCAGAATTGAAACGTGTTCCCCACTCCCCACCCCTCATCCCTCCGGCCACATTCTCCTGGCCTTCTTGCTCCAGCCTACACTGGGCTGCAGGATTTCCCAGCTCTGTGGGGCCAAGGCTTGCCTGGTCAGGAAATGGGGGCTTGGACTCTGTCCCTGAATCACTATACTGTGCCCCTCCATGCGCGGTGGTGTTTCTCCATCTGAGCGGGGCTGGTGGGACTGGGGCACGTGCCCTATCCCTTCGGATGCCGCAGTGAGGAGGTGGCCGCTCAGCTGCCTCTCCAACTAAATGGCAGGTAGATTCACAGCTGCCTCCCACAGCAGTTGAACTGGAATGGAATGCAGGGCAGATGGGGCTGGGGGAGGGTCCCTGCAGGCCTGTCCCGGCAAAGTGCCTGGAGCCGCATGCTCTGCACAGCACTTAGGCATTCCTGGGACCCAGTGGGGTGGGGTGGGGATGCCTTGGGGACAGCCAGCCTGAGGCAGGTTCCAACCTCTGCTCTGCAGTGCGAGTCGTTCCCGATGCTGACCCTCTTCTTGGTAAAAGGAGACAGTGCCTTGGAGACATTTGTCAGGAGCATTTCTCGAGCCCTTGCAGTGTAACTTTGGGTGGGTGATGAGCAAGACAGACAAGGTCCCCGCCCTGAAAGACCCTGAATTTCAGTCGGGAGACATGAAAACATCCACGCAGGGAAGGTAGCGGCAGGTTTCCTATGGTGAGATTAGTTGGCTGAACTGTGCCACCATTAAAGCCTGGCGTGCTGGGATAAGCCAGGAGGTAACCCCAGGCCTCAACCCACCCTAGCGCAGAGACTCCTTCCCCGTGTAGAGTCCAGGAAGGCTCTGTCACTATTGGTTTGGCTTCCAGCGATGCCGAGCCCAGCCTCTAGGGGTCGTGATCCATCCATGAGCCAAGTTTTACCACTCAGTGGTGGTCCAAGGCTTTCAACAGTGGGAAGGTAGGCCCTGGGTGTGCCACGCAAAGGCAGAGGTGCCCCATGACCTGCACCTTTCCACCTCCCCATCCCAAAGCCGGACTGTGGTCTCTGAATGCCATTTCCTACTGAAAGGAACCACATTCTTTGGAGAAGTGACTGATATTGGGAGGAAGTATAGAGGGGAACCTGGGAATCTGGTGCCAGAGACCAAAGAAGCACCCAAAATAATGGGGTCATGGCCGAAGGACGTGGGACCCAAACTAAAGGGCCTCCTACTGGCCTAACATGCCATTAAAAAAACAACATTGAGGCTGGGCATGGTGGCTCAGGCCTGTAGTCCCAGCCCTTTGGGAGGCTGAGGCAGGTGGATCACCTGAGATTGAGAGTTTAAGACCAACCTGACCAACACGGTGAAACCCATTCTCTACTAAAAATACAAAAATTAGCTGGGTGTGATGGCGGGTACCTGTAATCCTAGCTACTCGGGAGGCTGAGGCAGGAGAATGTCTTGAACCGGAGGGCAGAAGTTGCAGTGAACCAAGATCGTGCCACTGCACTCCAGCCTGGGCAAAAAGGTGAAATTCTGTCTCAAAAAAAAAAAAAAAGACATTCATCAAAACAGCAAAGAATCCAAAAATTCATAATGATGTTTAAAAAAAAACCTGTTGTTTAAGACAGGGTCTCACTCTGTTGCCCCGGCTGGAATGCAGTGGTGTGGCCATGGTCTGCTGCAGCCTCGACCTCCCTGCTCAAGCGATCCTCTCGCTTCAGTTCCCCAGCTAACCCCCTAGGAATAGCTGGAAGTAGGCACATGCCGCCATGACTGGCTAATTTTTACATTTTTGGTGTGTGAGACAGGGTCTTGCACTGTTGCCCAGGTTGGAGTGCAATGGTGTGATCACAGCTCACTGCAGCCTTGATCTCCTGGTCTCAAGCAATCCTCCACCTTAGCCTCCCAATCTGAGACTACAGGCACAAATCACCACATCCTGCTAATATTTTTTTTTTTTTTTGGTAGAGACAGGATTTTGCCATGTTATCCAGGCTGGTCTTAAACTCCTGAGCTCAAGCAGTCCTCCTGTCTCAGCCTCCAAGTTTTTTTAAAAACACCCATTGATCACCTTTGGGGTTGAGAATATTAGGCATATATCCAACTTTCTTATCCACACTATTTCAGGATAATCAAATCACTGCAGGGGAAAGTTCTTTCTAGGAGAATTCCAGGTAATACATGCAAGAGAGTATGTCAGAATTAGAAAATTACTGATTTGGGGCCAGGTACAGTGGCTCACACCTGTAATCCCAGCATTTTGGGAGGCCAAGGCAGGCAGATGCACACACACACCCCATATGTCAAGGCCCTGGCCTTTCGGCTAAAACAACTTCCAGGGGATTTAAAAAGTTGGTACCTTTTAAAGAATCACCCCTTCAGCTGGGTGTGGAGGCTCATACCTGTAATCCCCCAAAAAAACAATTGAAGATATAGACAAAGTCAGGAAAACAGATGAACAACATGAAATTTTTTTAATTTTTACTTTATTTTTAATTTTTTTAGACAGTCTTGCTCTGTCACCCAGGCTGGAGTACAATGGCACAATCTCTCCTTACTACAACCTCCGTCTCCTGGATTCAAGTGATTCTCCCACCTTAGCCTCCTGAGTAGCTGGGACTACAGGCGCGTGCCACCATGCCCAGCTAATTTTTGTATTTTTTGGTAGAGACAGGATTTCACCATGTTGGCCAGGCTGGTCTTGAACTCCTGATCTCAAGTGATCTGCCTGCCTCAGCCTCCCAAAGTGCTGGAATTACAGGTGTGAGCCACCACATCCAGCCTCACATGAAATATCAATGAGGAGAAAATGTAAAAGAAACCAAAAACAATCCTAAGACTTAAAAGTACAGTAACAGAAATGAAAATTCACTAGAGAGACTCACAGGCAGATATGAACAGTCACAAAAAAGAATGAGGAGAATGTGAAGATAGGTCAATGGAATTAAACAGAAAGAAACAAGGTTGAAGAGTGGACAGAGCCTAAGGTAACTCTGGGACACGGTAAGGTGCATCAACGTGTGCATTATGGGAGGTGCCTGAGGGGAAGAGAGAGATCAGAGGCAGAGAGATTATTTGAGGAAATAATGGCAGAAAACTTTGTAAAATTGGTGAAAGACATGAAAATAAACACCCAAAAAAGATCAGCGACCTCTAAAGATGAACGCAGTAGGATCTGCACCTCTTGGCTCTAATCAAACCGTCAAAATTGTAATGGAACTGTGAAAGGAAAGAGTCTTGAAGGAAGCAAGAGAGAAGGGACTCTTCTTACAGAAGGGTTACTTAAGATAATCGGCAGATCTCATCAGAAACGTCCGAGGCTGGAAGACAGTGGGCCAATATTTGTGGCGTGCTGAAGTGAAAAACAGAACCATTAACTAAGAATCCTGTATCTGACTAAGCTTTCCTTCAAAAGCAAGCGGCAAATTAAGACATTCTCAGATAAACAAAAGTCAAGGGAGTTCATTGCAACTAGACCTGTCCTGTAAGAAATGGTTACAGGAGTTCTGCAGGGCGAAATGAAAGGACACTAGACAGGAACTCAAAGTCACATGCAGAAAGAAAGACCTCAGTTAAAATGAATACGTGGGCAAGTATAAAAGCTGGTATTTGTGTAGTTTGCAGCTGCACTTTCCATTTTCCACCTGATTTTAGAGAGACAACTACATCCTAAAAGTAATCTAAAAGCCAGTATTATCGTAACCTTTGTTTTGTTTTGTTTGGAGACGAGTCTTTTCACTGTCACCCAGGCTGGAGTGAAGTGGTCGGATCTTGGCTCACTTCAGCCTCCATCTCCCGGGTTCCAGCAATCCTCATGCCTCAGCCTCCTAAGTAGCTGGGACTACAGGTGCGTGCCACCACCCCTGGCTAATTTTTTGTTTTTTTAGTAGAGACAGGGTTCTTCCATGTTGCCCAGGCTGGTCTCGAACTGCTGAGTTCAGGCAGTCCGCCCGCCTCAGTCTCCCAAAGTGGTAGGATTACAAGAGTGAGCCACCATGCCCGGCCTTGTAACCTTGGTTTTTAAGTCCATATTTTGTTTTCTACACACTTTAAGGGACTGGGGCACTTGTAAACTCCAGTTATTAGTTTCTTTTCTTTGGAACTGAAAGGGGTGTGGATGGAGCTGTGAAGGAAGAGAACCTTTCAATAGCAAGAAAACAACTTACAAAATGGATAAAAGATTTGCCGACAGATATTTCTCTAAAGAAGATCCACAATGGTCAACCAGTGCCTGGGAAGATGCCCAGCGTCACTCTTCACTAGGGAAATGCGAATCTAAACCACAATGAGATATCATCTCATACCTGTTAGAGTGGCTTTTTTCAAAATCTGTAAGATAACAAGTGTTGGCAAGGATGCAGAGAAGGGAACCCTTGTGCATTGTTGGTGGGAATGTAAATTAGTACTGCCAATATGAGCAACAGTATGGAGGTTCCTCAAAAAACAAAACCTATGATCCCCAATCTCTTCTGGGTATATATTCAAAGGAATCCAAATCTGTATGTTGGCTGGGCACAGTGGCTTGTGGCTGTAATCCTAGCACTTAAGGCCAAGGTGGGACTATCACAAGCTCAGGAGTTCAAGACCAGCCTGGGCAGCATATCATGACCCCGTCTCTACAGAAAATAAAATAATTAGCCTGGCGCAGTGACCTGTGCCTACAGTCCCAATTACTCCAGTGGCTGAAGCAGGAGGATCACAGGAGCCCAGGAGATTGAAGCTACAGTGGGCAACGGTCACACCACTGCACTCCAGGATGTGTGACAGAGCGAGATTCTGGCTCAAAAAACAAACGAGCCTGAGTATCAGTAATGAGATGGAGAACTTGAAAACACAATAAAACAGATAAATATAATAGACACATCAAAATACTGTATACAACAACAGCAAAATCCACATTCTTAAGTGGGCACGGGACGTTTTCCAGCATAGAGCATAGGCTTCACCACAAATTGAGTCTCACTAGATTTCTAAATATATCACTTAAAGTATCTTCTGTGACCTCAACAGGATAAGGTTAGAGACCAATAATAGAAGGAAACTGGAAAATTCACCAATTTGTGGAGATGAACGCATGTTTAACAACCAGTGGGTGAATGGAGAAATCGGGGGAAATATGCAAATGCTTAGAGACCAGTGAAAACAGCACAGTGTACCAAAACTTCCCAGATGCAGTGAGAGGAGCACGAAGGAGGGAATTTATAACCATAAACACATTTAAAACATCTCAGCCGGATGTGGTGGTTCATGCCTGAAATCCCAGCACTTTGGGAGGCCAAAGCGGGAGGAGTTCAGTTCAAGACTATCCTGGGCAGCATGGCAAACACCGTCTTTATGAAAAACAGAAAA